ACTGTGATCGTGAGCTCTTATGTAATAATGGGGGGCGGGAGTTCGAGAGGATGACGTTACTGTCCCACGGGGCGTGCAGCTGGAAGGGGCAGGGGCGCAGCCTATATATAGATTGCGTGTCCAAGTCCCGAGGAGAGTAGCGGCGTAGAAAGCAATATAGAGCGATGGAGAGGGGAGACAGGAGAGAGAGAGAGAGACAGCAAGAGGGTAAAGCCTGCCGGAGTAGAGCAGAGCAGGCCTGAGGAGGCCATTTGGGACCTCCTTCAAAGTCATTTGGGGCCCCCTCGAGGGGCCATTTGGGACCTACCTCAAGAGAGGCCTGTGGGAGGCGCCTCCTGGAGCAGAGCAGGGCAGGCCTGTGGAGAGTAGAGAGGCCTGCAGAGAAGGAGGAAGGGAAGAAAAGGAAAAGCCTTCCCTTTTGGAGTTTTGGAGCTTTGGAGGTCTGAGGTTTGGAGGTTTCCAGACCGACTAATTGGTGGTTTGCAGACCAACTAATAAAGGTCGAGGCTGCCCATTGGAGGCTTGGAGGTTTGGTGGTTGAGGCTGCTCCTGGTTCTGGGTATCTAGCCTAGGGACAAGGGAGTTGCAGGACCCCTTTCTGGTGAAAATAGTGTAAATAGTGTAAATAAACTTCTTTTGTCCACCTTTAACTGTGCCTTGATAGGTTGTCTCGCTTCAGAGGTCATAAGTTTATCTGCAACAAAAGTTTGTATACACACACACTAGTATATTAGTGTAATATATATTATATAGTATGGATATATATACTACGACTATAGGATATATGCTATATATAATTTATAGTGTATATACTATATAGCAACATACATTAAAATCTATAATTTTATATTTAAATTTTTATGTATAGTATACTTTATATATTAGACATGATATAATTATATATTAGTATATATGCATAATATATTATGTGTAATATACTATTTATAGTATATATGTGTGTATATATCTATATATGTGTGTATACTATTTATAGCATATATATATATATGATATGTATCATATAAACCTTGTAATTTTTCTCTGTGATTTTTCACATGGGGATTCAGGGATTATTGGAGACTAATCTGAAATTTTGTTTTGGTCAATAGGTGGCTGTCTTTGCTTGGTTGCTGGTTCTGGGTTGGCTGAGAGAGTCTGTACCTGGTCTGTTGTGGGAGAGGCCTACTTCCAGCTGCTGGTCTGACCCTTGTAGGGCTCTTGGCTGTCTGCTATAGATCACTGGCATTTCCAGTGTTTAGAAGGACTGAGCAGCCTAGACTGCTCCTGTTTACTCCTACAGGTGCTCTTGGTGAGATCAGGTGTACTGGATGTACTTTCCCAGTTGCTGGAGTCTGCTATGAGCTCCTGATTTTCTTTTTCTTTTTTTGGTCAGTTGTGGGCCTGAACTCTGGGCGTGGGCTCTGCTCCTGAGCTCTTCAGCTCAAGGCTGGCACCCTACCATTTGAGCCACAGAGCTACTTCTGGCTCTTTCTGCTTATGTGAAGCTGAAGTATCAAATCCAGGGCCTCATGCACACAAGGCAAGCACTCTACTGCTGAATCATCTTATCACCCTGAGCTCTTGACTATTATCAGGTGCTGGTGGCCGGAGTTGTCCAATTCCTGGCCTTGGATATATGGGTCAGGTTCTGGTGAGGTCTGGGCTTCTGGTTCTCCTTTTGCTGTCACAGGCACAATTCTCAGGGGGTGCAGTTCCTTGCTTTCCCCCCTCTGCTGAGGTCATGCTCAGCTTCTGACTTCAATCAAGTTGGTTGTGTTGCTCAGGCATCCAATCCCCAGGCCTGGTCCTGGCTTCTGGACCCCGGCCTGGGGTATGCCAGTTGGACCTATGCTGCTGTGCTGTGTATCCTGCCTGGGTTACGCAGCCTGGAGTACACAGTTCAGGTTTCTTCTGCTGATGGCTGTTGTGAACCATGGGCACTGTTCCTGGCTTGGGTGTTTAAGCTCCCTTCCAGGGGCACTCTTGATTTAGCTTGGCCAGCTGGATGTGCTCCACAGGCTGGTGGAGTACTCGAAGAATTCCCAGTTTTAGTGGGACCTGTAGTCCAGGTGTTGGGGCAGGGGTCTGGGTCAAGATTTGGGGGTTCCCACCAGCTCTGGTCTCCCTTGAAGGGGGGATACACTGTCCCCTGCGGGGTACTCACCCTGGAGCTAGTTGGGAACTCTCCAGCTGTTGTTTCTGTGTGATGGAGGTCGCTGATTACCGCTGTGATCTGCTTTCAGTTGAGATGTTTGTGAGCTGGGCCAGGTGGCGGCGGCTCTGTGACAGTGTTTCTCCTCTGTCTCTACCTCTGTTGCTGTAGTCTAGTAGTCTGTAGGCTGCTCTGGCCTCTGGCCGAAGAGTGGGGGAAGGGTCTCTGTGCAGGTTCTGAGTGCTGAGGTTTGTCTCTGTTTGTGCTCTCCAGATCAGCACCAGCACCTTGAAGGTCTTCTGCACTGGCGTTCTGTGGGCAGACCCCTGTAGTTCTGGGGTCCTCCCTGCAGGGCCGTGGGGCCGAGTCGATATATACCATATAAACTATGCGTAATATTATATAAAATATGTGCTAGAGTATAACATAATCTATAGTACTTGCAGTATATACAGTCTTAGTATATATAATACTATAGAGTGTAGAATATATAGTATATATAGTATAACCGATATAGTATAACATACTATAGTATAACATACTATATAGGTTATACTATATGTATGTTATATATTCTACATAATATATGCACAATATATGTTATATGATTACAAACAGTATAGGTCATATACTATGTAACATTTGCTATGATATTAAATTCTATATACTATATATAGGTATAACCAATGACTCACCCCTATCATCCTAGCTACTCATGAGTTTGAGATATGAAAAAAATCACAGTTTAAGGCCAGCCTGGGCTGAAAAGCCTGTGAGACTCCATCTGTAAAACATCTGGCAAAATCTAGGCTGGATGCTTGGCTCACATGGTCGAGTGCCTATTTAGCAAGCAATATGAGCCATGCAAAAGGTCCTGATTTCATCTTCCATAGTGAATATCCATAAAAACAATAACAATTGTATCAATAGTAAAACAAAACACAAGAACTATAGAGCAAGGCATTGCAACTTGAAAAAAAAATCCCTAGAGGATCAGATGGAGAATGAAGATACTTCCCCCCCCACCCCCAGCTTTGCAATTTGCAGTATTTGAATGGGCAGTAGAGGGAGCAGTAAGTCATTTTCTCTCTGAAACTCAGGCAAATTTGATGAGAAAGGGCTCTGAGACTGTCCCACCCTGCCTTTCCAGCCACTGGGGTGCAAATGCTGCCCTATTACAGCTGGGCAGACATGCTCAGTGCACAGGCCTGGGGCACAGTGTGCAGCTGCAATCCTCAAATGGCTCCCATCAGCTGAGCCCACGGAGGCCTAAGCAGGGGTTGTATCCTCTAGCCAAGGTGTGTGGGGGCTCTGAGCAGACAGGAAGCAATATAGCCTGGGGCAGGTGCAGACTGGATGATTGCCTGAGCCCTGGATGGAGCACTCGCCCTCCCCCTCTCTCTTTTCCCTCTCCCCCTCCCTTCCCCCTTCCTTTTCTCATCTCCTCTCTCCTCTCCCTCCCCCTCCTGACCACAGTTCTCAGATGGACACACCTTTGTGTAGATGTGGGTTATTGGTAAAGAGCCTGCTAGCAGGGCACTGGTGGCTCACACCTGTAATCCTAGCTACTAAGAATACTGAGATCTGAGGATCATGGTTTGAAGCCAGCCCGGGACAAAGAAAGACTTTGAAGACTCTTATCCCCAAAGTGAGGAGCACTCACCTTTTGCTGAAGAGCTCAGTGACAGTGCCCAGGATCAGAGTTTAAGCCCCACAACCAGAGAGGGAGGGAGGGTGAGAGAAAGAGAGAGAGAGAGAGAGCCCCTGCTTAGTGGGTGAGAGGCATGGAGTTCAACCCTAGTCATGTCCCCCAAATAGAAATACTTAACTCCAAATGGATGTGCCTTCCACTTCTTTCTTCAGTACAACCTACAATTTCCCCTTGCCACCCCCCCACTCTGCGCCCCTCCCCTCCCCGACCTGGATCCCCCCTTCTCTATGTCCAAATTGCAGCCAGTTTCCTGCATCCATGTTGCTTCTGGGCTTAGCCAGTGGAGAGGGCACACTGGGAATTGGAGAGACTACAAACTCAAGGTGAGCAGGCATGAGTGGATGGTGCCTATAATCTCAACCATTTAGGAGGCTGAGCTCTGAGGGTCGCCGTTCAAAGCCAGCTCAGGCAGGAAAATCCATGAGACTCATCTCCAATAAACTACCCAAAAGCCAGAAGTGGAGCTGTAGCTCAAGTGGTAGAGCACCAGTTTTGCATAAATCTTAAGAGATAACACTTAGCCCCGAGTTTCAGCCCCAGTATTAGATTAACATACACACACACACACACACACACATACACACACACACACACACGTGCTGGATATTGGTGGTTCACACCTATAACCCTGGCTACTTAGGAGACTGAGATCTGAGGACTGCAGTTTGAAGCCAGCCAGGGAAGAAAAGTTCTCATGAGATTCTTATCTCCAATAACCACTCAAAAACTGGAATGGTTCAAGTGGTAGACCGCTATCCTTGAGCACAAAGAGGCTCAAGGACAGCGCCCAGGCATTAAGTTCAAGTCCTACAATTGACTCCCCCCCCCAAAAAGTGCCTAACCATTGTAAGCACACAGTAAATATGAGCAATCATTATTGAGCCTCAACTTTTCAAGTCAGCACAAATCTGCATCACTGAAGAAATCCACAAAGCTAGGCAGCAAATTCTGGAGACAAGAGGAGCTTGTTTTTCTGGAAACAGACTACACCCAACCTATCTCTGAAATTTCTGGGAAAATGTCACATGTCATGGTGTGCGGGTTAGGGTGGGGTGGGTGGGGGTTCTTCTCAACCCTGTTCATCTGTTCATTTCTGGTGCTGCTATCCAGTTCCTGTTTCTCTTTCTGAGTAAAAACTCAGCATGAGGAAAGGGAGTAGAGAAATAAAAGCTGTACTCTCCAGCTGTCCTGACCACTAAGGGACATCAGTGACCATGAGTGACTCCAAGAAAGTGAGGGAGCCATCGCTGGGCCTCCTGGGTGAGGCTGGGCTGCACCATTGGAAGTTCAGGAAGCTGATCCTAGGGGTTGGGGATGGAGTTTGGTGGTGCTCAGATCTGATCTCAGACTGCCTGTTTCTGACTTTAGCTTCTCTCCATTCAGATGAGGAAGAGCAGATACCTGGGGGCACCAGATATTTTGTGAAAGGCTCTGTGCACCAACTGGCTGGTGATCTCAAGGACGTTGCAGGTGAACCATGGTTTATGGGGTGGGGAGGAGGAAGGGGAGAACCTCTTAGATAATCTGTGCTGTGGGGAGGTGGAACCTCTCAGTCCTGCAGATGGGGAAACAGGTTCCTGTGGAGGGGGAAGCTGGGGTTCTACACAATCCTGAACCTGGAGATGGTCAACGTTGGAGACTTGGACTCATGTGTCTTGTCAAAGTTAACAGTGAGGGTCTAGACTCCTGGGTCCTTGGTCTGTGGAGGTCTATAGACTCCTTGGTCTATGGAGGGTGAGGATGAAGATCTGTACTCCTAGGTTCTGTACAGGTGAAGGCTGAGGGGCTGGAACTCCCAAGTCTGTGAAGATGGAGGTACAGGGTCTGGACTTTTGATTCTCTGGAGGTGGAGGCTGAGAGGCTGGACTCCTAGGTCCTGTGGAGATAGAGGCTGAGGGGCTGGACTCTTCATTTTGTGGAGATGGAGGCTGGGGCCTGGGACACCTAGGTTCTATGGAGGTAAAGGCTGAAAGGCTGGATTCCTGGGTTCTATGAAGATGGAGGATGAGGGTCTGAACTCCTGGATCATGTGGAGGTAGAGGCTGAGTGTCTCAACTCTTCATTCTATGGAGATGGAGGCTGAGGGTCTGGGTCTCCTAGGTCCTGTGGAGATGGAGGCTGAGGGTCTGGACTCTTCATTCTGTGGAGGTGGAGGCTGAAGATCTGGACTCCTGGTATTGAAGAAGTGGAGGCTGAGGGTCTGGGACTCCTAGGCCCTGTGGAGGTGGAGGCAGAAGGACTGGTTACCTGGGTCCTGGATGTTCAAGGCTGGAAACTTGTGGCCATGCCTGGGCCTCTGTGCACTGGAGGGGAGGATTATAAAGCCTGAACATCTGAAGAGGAGAAGCCCGAAGTTGTAGAGATGGAAGCTGGGGCTCCGGGCTCTGGTGTCCTGGGTGAATCCTGGAAGTTTGGACTTCTGAGTCCTGTGGAAGTAGGAGCTGGGAAAGTGGACTCCTATGTACCAGAGAAGAGTCTAAGTTCTGGACTTTTAGAGAAGTTCTGGGCTCCTGGGGTGGAAGTCAGGAGACTGGATTATGGGGTCAATGGATGGTTGGATTTGAAATCTGGGTTTCTATCAGAACTGGGTGGGATGGGGGCATGGAATCATGGGTACTGGGGAAGAAGAGACTGAGAGAGTCAGGAGCGACAAGACACTGAGGAGCTAACCCCACCCTTTTTCTCTCCAACAGGGGGTCTGAGCCATGGCCATGCACTTCAGCTTCTCTCCCTCACCCTCTTCACCCTTCTCCTGCTGATTGTCCTGGTCAAAGGTTAGGCAAGCCTGGGATTGGGACATGACAGTCCATGATTAGGGGTGAACTGAGGGGTGAACTGAAATCTGGGGTCAGGTATTTCCAGAGCAACCGCCTGTGGTGTTGAGTTTGGGTTCTCACTCCACTCTTGCTGGTGAGTTAGCTTTCTCTTCAAGTGTTACAGTTTCCTTGTCTTCCAAGAAGATTAGACAAGATGGCAGCTTTCAGAAAACAATATCCCTGAGGGGGTCCTTGTGCAGGCTAATACACACTAAGTGTTTAATGGTTGCACTTTTTTGTTGTTCAAATTGGGAGTCTTTATTAAAAAGCGGGTGAAAAAATTGGGAGTCTTTATTGGCGAGCCAGTGGCTGCAGGTGGACTCCTGTCCCAAAGACCTGCAGCCCCTCGAATACACTTAACACGATTAGGAAGCTGAGCCATGAGAGCAGGAGAGGAAAGAAAGAGCAGAAAAACGATCCCAACAAACCAGATCCACTCCAATAGAGAGCTGAAGTGGGATACCATTGTGACTAGAGAGCCAGGAGACACGAGACATGAGACAAGAGGCACGGTGTCGAATGCACCTTTTTTTTGGTTGTTGTTCTTGTTCTTGTTTTACCCTTTCTTTGGCACAGTGTCCAGATTTCCTGGCTCCCAAGAGCACATCAAGGAAGACAAGATCTACCAGGATCTGACCCAACTGAAAGCTGGAATTGGTGAGTGATCAGAAAGCAGGTTTTCCAGGCCTCTGTTTTATGAATTTCCTTCCTTCACCAGCCCGCTCCGAGCTTCAGTTTGTGGATCTGTGAATTGGGAATATAGTGGCTCAGAGATTGTGGTATTTGGTGTTCATAGAGGGCCATGCAAACAATAGGGATCTAATGAACCCAGTTTCCATGCCCCTCTTGTGAGCCGAAAGCCTCCTCAGATCTCAGTCTGGAGGAGATGGTGCCACCACTTGGGTTCTTCTGAGATGGAAAAGGAGATAATATAATTTTAAGAAGCTGGGTTGCTGGTGGTGCATTTGAGCCTGTCATCTTAGCTGCTCAGGAGGCTGAGATCTGAGGATCGAGGTTCAGAGCCAGGCTGGACAAGAGAGCCTCTTATCTCCAAGTAACCAGCAAAAAAGCTGGACGTGGAGCTGGGGCTCCACTAGCCTTGAGTGAAAGAGCTCAGAGACAGTGTCCAGGGCCTGAATTCAAGCCTCAGGACACACACAAACACACCGCTTGAATTTTCTTCTCAACAGAAAGCCTATGCCACCCCTGCCAGTGGGACTGGACATTCTTTCAAGGAAATTGTTACTTCTTCTCCGAGATACAACACAACTGGCACAATTCTGTCACTGCATGCCAGGAAATGGGGGCCCAGCTCGTGGTCATCAAAAGTGAGGAAGAGCAGGTGTGCCTGTGCTGTGGTAGATGACTGGCCAGCTGGGGAGGAAATGGTTGGTCCAGTGGGATTTTTTTTAATGGAGAACCAAATGTGTATTCTACTGGGAAGGAGACAAAAGGTGGGAAGATAGGTTCTCAAACATCTTGCACAGAGACACACCCAAGGTCTGACTTGGGGTGAATGGATTGGGGATCACGACGGGTATACGTGCGTTTTGAGGATGCACTGGCTAGGGTTTAACAGCTACCTCAGTTGGGGGTTCACAGTCTTGATGTGAACCATTCATCAATTCCACTCATGTGAATTTTGCCACCCAGGCTGATGGCTCGATGCTAATGGGACAGGCTATGAAGGGGACATTACGCATGGTTAGCAATGGTGAACTCATCTTTTGGTTCAAACACATTAATCCCGGTAATGGTGTGGGGCGCCAATGGCCCATGCCTGTCATTCTAGCTACTCAGGAAGCTGAGATCTGAGGGTTGTGGCTCAAAGCCAATCCAAGCAGGAAAATCTGTGAGACTCTTATCTCCAATGAATCACCAAAGAGACAGAAGTGGGGTCATGGTTTGAGTGGTAGAGTAGCCTTGAGCTAAAAAGCTCCAGGACAGGGCTGGGAAGGTGGCTCAGTGGTAGAGGGCTTGCCTTGCATGCATGAGGCCCTGGGTTCCATTCCTCAGCACCACATAAGCAGAAAAAAAGCCAGCAGTGATGCTGTGGCTCAAGTGGTAGAGCGCTAGCCTTGAGCTGAAGAGCTGAGGGACGGCGCCCAGGCCCAGAGCTCAAGCCCCAGGAGTGGCACAACAATGCAAAACACCCCCATCCATGACTAGATTTGCACTCAGAACTCAGAAGACACACAAGTAGTGAAGCAAACGTGTCTCAGAGAGGCCACTGGAGTGCACACTGTGTGCCAGGCAGAACACATCTATCCACCGGATACAGATGTAGGTGGAACATTCCAGACTCACAGATGGGTAGAGTAAATCTCAGGCAGGAAACAGAACTTCCTGCGAAGAGTTTGGGGAGACCCAGGTGGAAAATGGGGTGCACAATTCCTTCCTGAATCCTCTTCTCTTCTTCCAGAGATTCCTGCAGCAGGCTTCTAAGAGTAAAGGCCGCACCTGGATGGGGCTGTCCGACCTGAAACATGAGGGCACGTGGCACTGGGTAGACGGCTCCCACCTGATGTTCAGGTAGATCTTGGAGGAAGCAAACACACTGTAGAGTAAGAGTTCAAGTTCTGACTTGAGCTCTGTTTTGGGGGGAGAGGGATTAGGTGGAAGCGGGGTGTGCTTTTCTTCCCTCTGTGGCTCACTAGGTTAAATGGTCTGACTTGAAGAAGGAGAGCTTTCATAACGCCATGTTTAGATAGGATGGCCCCATGGAAAGCAGATGCCAGTGGCTCATGTCAGTGGATTTGGGGGTGGAGATGGAGGGGGCGGTACTGCAATCTGGAAGATCACGGCTAAAGGCCAGTCCAAAATAACCAACCAAAAAAACTAGGTTGGAAGCATGACTCAAGTGGTAGAGCACCAGCCTAACAAGCAAGCAGAGCAAGTGAAAAGCCTTGCACTCAAACCCCAGTACTTACAACTATACAGAATGATATATATTTAATATATGTATTATATTATATAAAATATATAAGTGAATATATATTTATAGATGAATATATTTTAAATAATATATTAAATAAATATACATGTTCTATATGTGTTCTATATTATATGTGTTATTACATTATATATAGGTATATTTTAAATAAATATATTAAATAAATAAATGTTATATTTTATGTCAATATCTATTATACATTATATAAACATTTTAAAACAAATATTATATACAAACTATATTTTTATATAAATATATATATAATACATGACATATAATATTAATAGAAAATGTGAGGGATGGAAAAGCCAACATGCCATAGAAATTATTGTAACTGATGAGATAAAATGACTGCCTGGTACTGGAGGCTCATGTCTACAATCCTAGCTACTCAGGAAGCTGAGATCGGAGGATCCAGGTTCAAAGCCAGCCTGAGACAGGAAAGTTATAAGACCATTATCTCCAATGTACTACTAGAAAAGCTAGAAGTAAAGCTGTTACTCAAGTGAAAGAGTGCTAACCTTAACCAAAAAAAGTTTGGAGACAGCACTCAGGCCCTGAGGTCAAGCCCCAGGAGTGGCACCAAAATAAAGGAAGTGCCAAATTATAAACATATGTGTAAACATATACAGAATCATACACATATATACACAAACATGTTAATAATAGTATATGAAGGGAACGATTCCAATAGTGTAACTTCTCTAAACAAATAACATGTTTTAACAAAAACAAGAAAGAGGAAGTACCAGGCCATATCCCAGATGCTGAGGGCAGAGAAATTATGACCAAGAATTTTTCTTGTGGTTTCCATGAGAACTAATAGATAACACAGAGTAAGCAGGCCTGGGATTGGCTAGTTTGGGATGTCAATTTTGCTCCTGGCCGCTAGTGAAGGATTTGATTGGTTTGTATCTGAAAAACTGCACAGCCAACAAGATGGATGACCCCCCCCCTCCCCGCCCCTGCCCACTGGACTATGATAACCAATAAGAGAAGAAGCCAAAGGTCAAGTGTATCAACCATACATACAAGGTTGCCATATGCATGCAGGGCATATGTGAATGTGTTTCAAAGTGGAAAGGAAAGAACAGGGTGGGTATAGGAAGTGTGGAACAGAGGCTCAATTTCAATTGGTCTATGCAGATTCATGAAATATTGGAATGAAGGAGAGCCCAACAGTTCTGGGGATGAAGATTGTGCAGAATTTAGAGGTGATGGCTGGAATGATGTGCAATGTAAGCTTGAAAAATTCTGGATCTGCAAGACGTCTGCAGCCTTCTGCCCTACCAAGTGAAGCCCCGTCTATTGCCAAAGTGTCCTAGTCACGGTACACCTGCTGGGGGCCATTCTGTGTTCTGTCAGTCAGTTCCTTCTTCTTGTCTGTGGGTATTGAGATTTTTGATAAGAGCCTTTCTTTTCTTCTCTCTCCCTCCATTCCTTAGTCCCTTCCTCCTCCCCCACCCCACCCTTTCCTGGTCTCTTTGCTTTCTTGTTTGTTGGAGACTGGGACCTTCTATGTAACAAGGCTGATCCAGAACTTGGGGATCTCCTGCTTCAGTATCCCATGTGCTGGGATTACAGGCATACACTACCAGTTCTCCCCTTTATTATTTTTTTTACTCCTTATCTAAAACTTCTCTTCATTGAAACAATCCTTAATTGATTGAGAGATTGATATTTGCAAGTCTATCATCCACTTCTCTTATTCTTGGCCAACAATAAATTTCTTCCCTGCAACATGGGTGTTCAGTTGTGTTACTACTTTTGCAATTCCAAAGAGAAGGAAAAAATTGACTAAATTGGTAATGAGCTCTCTTCTACTTTCAGATCTTTATTTTTTGAGTTTCTACATATGAAAGACTTATCCTTTTGTATCTGGATGGTTTTGTTTCACATAGTGTCTTCCAGTCTGATGCATTTTTTCTCAAAGGACAGGTTTTCATTCTCAGCACTATTAGTTGGAGAGATTGTCCTTTCTCTGATGTATGTTTTTGGTGCCTTGATCTAGAATTGATTGGCTTGTTACCAGGCAGAGGTGAGGTTTAGCGAAGCTCCCCTTTAAATATAGGAACTCTTCACTTAGGGTTCTTGACTTCCATTGTAGACTAAGAATTTCTGGACAGGTCACACTGGTAAGAAAACTTGGCAGAGCTTTATTAAGTAAACAAGCAAGAAAAACAACCAGACCAAAAAAAAAAGCAGACAAACAGAAGGACAAGGGCACACTCTAGCAGAGTGTGGGTGCTTTCATAGGGACACAAAGACACAGACACAGACAGACAAGAAGACACCCAGAGAGACTCACAGCTCCTTGGGCAATTGGATATTTATAGGGTAAAGGGGGGATCTGGCTTTAAATTATGCAAAGCTAGGTGCTTTGTCTTCGCCTTAATTACACCTGGTGTTCCAGATAAGAATGCATCCATAAAACCGATCCTTATTCTTGAAACAAGGAGACACCCTGCTAACTGCATTTTGGGGCATCTTATCAAGCAATTGTGAATTCTTGGGTGAGAAGTGCATCCCTTAGGAAATAATGCATTCGGTTGTTGTTCTTTGAAGCAAAGATAACATTTCTAAGTTTTTAGGTAACATATTTCTTTTTTTCTGTCAGTTGAGGGGCTTGAACTCTGGGCCTGGGTGCTGTCCCTCAGCTCTTCAGCTCAAGGCTAGCGCTCTACCACTTGAGCTACAGCACCACTTCCTAGGTAACATATTTCTGAGTTGCCTACACCAGGCCTCAGTTTCCATAAGTTATCCTGCTTCATTTCCCCCCAAATGACTTTTGTTTCCTTAATCTTAAAGGCAGTACATGAAGGAATATCTCCTGTATTTGCTATTAGCTGACCATACCTCATTTTTCCTAGTCTATCCGGCTTCATTTCCCCCAAAATGACTTTGTTCCCTTAATCCTAAGGAAAGTAGATGGACAAACTTTAAGCTTGAATCTTTGAATCCCTAAGATTCACTTACCATGCCTCATTTTTCCTAGGCTATCCTGCCTTACGCTGAGATGTGTAGATTTGTTTCTTGGCTTTGGAATTTTGACTCTTGCTGCAAGGGTCAGTTTTTGACCCCAATACATACTATTTTTGTTCCTATGTCTCTTTTGCATATGTTGAAATCAAGTATTATAGCCAAGAACTGGTGGCTCACACCTGTCAACCGAGCTACGCTCCACTAGAAAAAAAATCAAGGGGGACTGGGAAGGTGGCTCAGTGGTAGAGTGCTTGCCTCGCATGCACGAGGCCCTGGATTTAATTCCTCAGCACCACATAAACAGAAAAAAGCCAGAAGTGACGCTGTGGTTCAAGTGGTAGAGCGCTAGCCTTGAGCTGAAGAGCTGAGGAACAGCGCCCAGGCCCAGAGTTCAGACCCCACGACCGGACCAAAAAAGAAAAGAAAAGAAAAAAAAGTATATAAAACAGGAAATTGCCAGACTCTATCCAGCAGGCATTAAATCAATATGAACAACTGTGATTCACCTCCCAGCTCCCAAGTCAGCAGAATTCACCAGAAGTGAATGCATCAGCAAAGCCTGGGGTCAGAAGGAAGAGGTCCCCTGAAAGATAAGACATTGCTAACCCACTGGGCCATGTGGAGATGGAACAAAAGAGCCTAAGTTGCACAAGTTCTTGCTTTCATGAAAGGCATTCCAAGAGCTTGCCCTCACCACCGAGGGTGAAGCAGAAGTTTTCAGCTACAAACCCCAAACCCCACTGACGCGCTCCCTGAAAATGCTAGAATGTTCAGCACAAGCTGGACTGTGTTGATGGCCCTTCCCCTCTCTTGAGCTCTTCCGCCATTCCTGCTCACTTCCTTGTTTCTCTTCCGGAGCGATTGTAGATTCTGGGAGTGGGAAATGTAAGACGTGGCCTTCAGTAGCTCCAGGCACTGAAGGACAGCGGTGACCATGAGTGACTCTCAGGATGTGAAGGGCCCACAGCTGAGTCTCCTGGGTGAGGCTGGGCTGGGACTTGGGGTGTTCAGGATAGGGGCGATCTGGGATAGGGTTGGGGGGAGGGTCCTCCCATGAGGGCTCTGACTCGGATTCTCTGTCTATTCAGAAGAGGACCAGATGGTAACCGTTAAAGGACAAACTTTTCCACCCACTTCCAGATTCAGTAGTGTGTCAGGTAAAGTAGAGGCACAGACATGCTTGTGTCTAGGAAGCTGGAGGTTGGGTCTCCAGATGTCTGGGTGGGTGCTGGGGAAAGATACAAAATGGGTCCTTTCTGCTCACCGGTGGCTCATGCCTGTCATTCTAGCTACTCAGGCAGCTGAGATCTGAGACTTATAGTGTGAAGCCGTCCTGGGCAGGAGAGTCTGTGAGACTATTATCTATGATAAAGTTTTAAAAAGCCAGAAGTGGAGTTGGGGCTCAAGAGGTAGAATGCTAGCCTGGAGCAAAAGAAGTTTAGGGACAGTGCTCAGGCCCTGAGTTCAAAACTGAGGATTAGCACCCCCCAAAAAAAGGAAGGAAGGAAGGAAGGTAGGAAAGAAAGAAGGAAGGAAGGAAAGAAATAAAGAAAAATAAAGAAAAGAAAGGAAAGAAAGAAAGAGAAGAAAGAAAGAATCTGGGTCCTGCAATTCTACTTCCTGGGGAGGTAGAGTCTGGGGGAGGGAATATAGGCCCTTTGGCTAAGCTAACACCTTACCATGCTGGAGTCCCCCATCTTTTTCTTCCCAGGCTGCCTGGGATATCGCCTCACCCTCCTGATCCTGCAGATGCTATCTTTTATCATCTTGACCGTGCTTCTGGTGGCTGTCCTCAACCAAGGTTAGGAAGGGCCGAGGGCTGGCCTTACGCTAGGGGAGAGTACGTGGGAAGAAAAGTCGGATGGAAAGCTGGGATCGGGGTCTTTGGTAGCTCCACAGGGCTTCTTGGGGGTTTCTCCCACCTCCGGCATACTGGAGGAAAAGGGGGAAAGACAAGCAGGGGAGGAAAGAGAGGAAGCCAGGAGAGAGAGGAGAAGCAGGGGAGGGGAGGGAGGAGGAGCAGGAGAGAGAAGAAAAGATTGGGATGGAAGAGAGGACAGAAGAAGGGGAAGAGAAATAGAGGAGAAGAAAGGAGAGGAGAGGAGAGAGAAGAGAAGGGGAGGAAAGGAGAAGGAAGGGGAGGGAACGAGAGGAGAGGATAATAGGAAGAGAGGAAGCAGGGGAGAGGAGGCAGGAGGAGCAGCAGAGGGGAAGAAGGAAGAGGAGAGAAGAAGAAAACAATTGGGATGGAAGAAAGGACAAAGGAGGGGAAAGAGAAAGAGAGATAGGGATAGAGGAGAAGCAGGCAGGGGAGGGAGGAGGAGCAGGGAGCATCCTGGGTCCATTTGCCCATGCCATTCACAGGCTGCTTTGGATGTCAGATTTTCTTGTCTTCAAAGGGGATTAAACAAGAGAGTAGTCAGAGACTACTACATCCTTTATGCAGAGAGGCTAGTGACTGACTGTAGGCCCGGCTACTCAGGAGCTGGGGTGGCTGATCATGAGTTTGAGATTCGCCTAGACAGAATCTTTCGATCCATCTCAAAAGACAAAAAAACAAAAAACAAAAACAAAACAAGCAACAGCTCCCTGAGGGCCCAGTGAAGGCCCTGAGACACGCAGTTGGTTTTTGTTTGTTTGTTTGTTTTGGTCTTTTTTGGTACTGAGGATAGAACCCAGGACGCTGACACTTGCTAGCAAGTGCTTTGCTTCTGAGCTACATCCCCAGCCCACACAGTTGTTTAATAATTGCAATTTCTGCCGGGCACTAGTGGCTTACACCTGCAATCCTAGCTATTCAGGAAGCTGAGATCTGAGGATATGGATTCAAAGCCAGCCAGTCAGGAAAGTCTGTGAGACCCTTATCTCCAATAAACCACTAGAAAATTGGAAGTGGTGCTGTGGCTCAAGTGGTAGAGTTCTCGCCTTGAGCTGAAGAGTGAAGGGACAGAGCCCAAGCCCAGAGTTCAAGCCCCACAACTGACCAAAAAATAAATAATAATAATTGCAATTTCTTATTCCTTTGATGCAGGCTTCAAACTTCTTAGCTCTCAGAATCAATCAGAACAGAAGTTCTACCAGGAGCTGACCCAGCTGAAGACTGCAATGGGTCAGTGACTGGAAACCCGGGGTCCTAGGGCCAGAAAAGGCCAAAGGTCTCCAATGGAGGGGGGAGGAAGGTCACATGGCTTGAGTCACTGGCCCTCTCACTGGTCTGTGAATTGGGAACACAGAGGATCAAACCCAGGATGTTGACACTTACTAGGGAAGTGCTTCACCACTGAGCTACATCCCAGCCCACACAGTTGTTTAATGATTGCAATTTCTTATTCCTTTTGCCCAGGCTCCCAACTTCTTGGCTCTCAGAATCAATCAGAACAGGAACTCTACCAAGAACTGACCCAGCTGAAATCTGCAGTGGGTCAGTAACCAGAAACCCAGAGTCCCAGGGCCTGAGAAGGTCAAAGGTTCCATGGGCGGGGGGGTAGGGGGAGAGCTGGGGGGAGGGGAGAGAGGGGGAGGAGATATGGGAAGAAGGAGGTCACTTGGCTTTGAGTCACTGGCCCTCTCCCTGGCCTGTGAATCAAGAACACAGAGGAACAGCCCGGAAGCCATTGGTGGCACCAAGAACACTGTAGGTGCTCAGTTAAATCCTGTTCTGAGATCTTAAGTCCCCTGCTCCTCCCAGTCTGGAAGAGATGGCTCCAGGATTCCTGGGTTCTCCTAGAGTCAGGAAGGGGCTCAGGAAGTGGAGACAGAAATGACCTCAAG